CCCTCGTCCCCGTCCTCATCCCTCGTCCCTTGTCTTCGTCCCCCCTCCTCATGCTGCTTCCTCCCGCGCCCTCTCCCCTCCTGCTCTGCTCCTCGCCCCCATGCCTCCCTGCTCTTCTGCCCCCAAGCCCCTAGGCCCTTGTCCCTCGCTCCCGGCCCCCGCTGCACATCTCTCCTCTGTGCTCGCCCCTCCCCCTTCCTCTCGTCCGCCCCCCCCCCCCCCGCCACGCCCGCCTCCTTCATTCTCCCTCCCTCTCTCCTGCCCTCCTCCTCCTCCTCCTCCTCCTCCTCTTCCTCCTCCTTCTCCACCTCGTCCTCCTAATCCTCTTCCTCCTCCTCCTCCTTCTCCTCCTCGCCCTCCTCGTCCTCCCTCGCCATCTTCCCCCACCCGGCTCCCTAATCCTCTTCCTCAGCCTCCTCCTCCTCCTCTTCCCTCTCCATCTTCCCCCCACCCGGCTCCTTCATGAATCTTCCTCGCTGATCTCTCCTCCATCTGCGTTTCCTCCTCCTGCAGCGTGCAGAAGCAGGTCGACCTTGTGCTTCTGAACGGAGCACGATGCCTCCTCTGGCAGGTGGAGCGTACCCTCCAGCGGCTGCGGCCAACACTCTATATTCGAGTTCCGCGTGGACTCGTCGCCCTGGAGGAGTGGCAGCGGGTGGGGTGGAAGAGCGGTGATGCGACGACGGGCAACGACGACAGACAATCGAGGGGGGGAAGCCAGGGCGCGGAAGATCAGATGGCCCCTGGAACCTACCAGAAACATCCTAGATCCCCGCTGCAAAGAATGTCCTGAAGCGCCCAGAAGCCTGCGGAAACCCTCCCTCGTCCTCCTTCTCCTCGTCGTCGTCCTCCTCGTCCTCATCCTCCTTCTCCTCCTCCCTCTCCTCCTCCCCCTCCTCCTCCTCCTCCTCCTTCTCTGCCTCCTTCTCCTCCTCTTCCTCCTGCTTCTCCACCCTTCCCGGCCCAACAAGGCCTTCTGCAGAGACCCCTTTTTTCTCAGATTCCCTTCCATCCGCTTCCTCAGCCTTCTCCTCCTCCGCGAGAGGGCACAGGGGCGAGGCTAGCGGCGGAAGGGCGAGAAGAGGGGGGCTCCAATGACCGAGGGGAAGACGAGGGTGGGTGTGGGGGCGAGGAAGGGAGGGTTGAAAAGGATGTGGCAGTTCACTCCAGGGAAACGGGTTCATTTTTCCCCCGTGGACACGTGGAAAGTAATGCCAGCGGCGCGGGCGCAACTGCGGATGCGGAAACTCCGCTCGACGCGTCGTTGCCTGCGGCATCTGGGGCCGTCACGACTCGGCGCGCAACTTAGCGTACGCCTTGTCGGCAAATGCTCGGCATCGCTTTCCGTTTGGGCAAGGGCCACCTTCGAACGCCTGCCCCGTTGGCACCGCTCTCAAGGTCGTTTTCCAGCCACCGTCGGCCATGATGCCACCGCATCCCAGCGTACTCTTTATTGTCTTCTGCAAAGCGGCATTGACATTGTCACTCTTGACTGTAGGATCGTCACGACCAAAGTATCCAGTCATGGCCAACTTCATCTGCTGCGGTGCTGTGCTCGCGCAAGCCGACTTGGCAAGCATCACATCCTTCGTCCACGGCACATTCATCCGCGTAAGCATATACCCCTTGCGCAACATCATAACGACTGACAAGAAACGCGCATCGTCTCGCTCGCTTCACTCGTGGCGACGTGTTCAGCCTGAAATTCTCAACCACCATCTTCAGGGTGATCGTACCCCAATGCTTGTCAACCGCATGGGCGGTTGCGGACCAAATGCCAACAACCGTGGGCACTTCAACCGCGCGGAGCACGATGCGCTCCCAGTCAAAAGCCTAGCCCAATACTTGTTGGCACCAATCGTACACGACCTCCGACCAGTTCCAAACGTGAATGCGCTGCTCGTCCGGCTCCCCGATTGTCAAAATAATAGATACGCGCTGCGCTGCTGCGTGCCTGGCCACTGCCCTGGATGTGACGCTTAATGAAGTTAAACTTTTCGAAGCGGGACCACCTAGCCGCAGTCACAGGCGTCGATGCCCTCCTCTAGAGCCTTCGTCGAAACCAGAATGAGCGTATGCCCACTGCGGAAGTTCGCAAGAATGCTGCCCATGTCCTTCAATCGACATCTGGACACACATTGCCTCGGATGTTCGTTCGATGTCGACATTGCCGGTGATCGTGCAGTTGCCTAGTGGCTCGAAGACGTCTCATGTGCTCGGCCATCTTGTTGAGGTACCTTCATTTTACTCCGTGCCCCCAGCCGGACAAACGCCAGCTCCAGGTGCGGTCGAGGTATCTTCAGCACCAAAGTCGCAGTCCCCTTGGAAATGTTATGGGCCCTGGCTCGCCTGTGAAGGTCGGTCAAGTTGCCAGGTGCCCTGGGCCCGCAGCGGAACATCGGTGCGGAATCCAGCCGTGGCGACCAGGAGTCCCACGGAGAGCCCTCAGACCGTCCCGGCACCCCTATAGGCCGACCACGACTTGTTCTTAGAATCCAACGTGCTCGTTCTAAGAATAAATGCACTGCTCTTAGAACATAATCCGATGTGTCAAAACAAGACAGACTTAGCCAGACATGTTCTAAGAAAATGCCGTGCACACCACAAGAGGTTCTTCGAGCACTCTTTGGTAGGCCTATAGGCGAGCTAGAACGATTCGCCACGACACGACACGACAGACGGAGCGGCGCGCGAATCGGCGCCCATCCCCCCCGTGCACCTGGTCGAGGCAGCCCGCGTGGCCGCTCGCATCCCAGAACCCGCGCCCACGCCCTCGAGGCGCCGCCTCCCTCTGCACCTCCTCCTCACCCTCCTCCTCCTCCTCCTCCTCCTCCTCCTCCTCCTCCTCCCCCTCCTCCCCCCCCCTCCTCCCCCTCCTCCTCCTCCTCCTCCTCTTCCTCCTCCTCCTCCGACTCCCCCTCCCCCTCCCCCCCCTCCTCCTCCTCCTCCCCTCCTCCTCCCTCCTCCTCCTCCGACTCCCCCTCCCCTCCTCCGACTCCCCCTCTCCCTTCTGCTCCTCCTCCTCCTCCTCCTCCTCCTTCTCCTCCTCCTCCTCTGACTCCCCCTCCTCCTCCTTCTCCTCCCCCTCCAACCGGGCGCCTGGGTGCACAGCGGCCTCAGCAACTCGGAGGTTGCGAGGAGGGACTCCGAAGGCAAAGCGCCTACGCAGCATGTTCCCCAAGCCTCGGCGCTGACCCCCCTGGCCTCCCACGAGGACGTTGCAGCGGGCCAGGTCCGCTGTGATGCAATGACGGGCACCCTCTCCGCGTCCCGCCTCCGCTGCAGGGAGCCCGAAGGGAAGCTGGCCGTGAGGCCCAGGACGTTGGGGCGGCCGGCCACCTGGAGGCCGTCCACCTATTCACGCACGATGAGGGCCATCGGGGCGCTGCCCTTGACTGCAGGGCGAGGCAGTGGTAGCGTTCGCAAACGGCGGGGTAGCCTCTGGGGCTAGTGTTCGTCGGCGGCGGAGGGTCTCAGCGGACTCTGTGAACCGCCTGATGACCGCACACACCCGCCGACCGAGTGAGCCCCATCGGTGGCGCTCGTCGAAGACTGGCAGCGAGAACGGCGGAGCGCCGCCCCTGGAAGCTCTCGGCCGTGCCCACGGGCACCCGCGCCTCTCTGGAGGCACAGCGGCCAACTTGCCCTCGTCCCAGGAATCCATTTCCACCCCTGCCAGTTTGAAGGGGCCCTGGGACACACAAAATATATTCCCCACATTTCCCCATGTTTTCTGTGTCTCTGTCTCCCCCCCCCCACTTCCCATATCTTGACATGTTTTCTGGGAATCGACGATTCATTGTGTCTGTGTGTGTTCTTCCCTCCCTGCCAGTCTCGCGACCGTCCGTCTGCTCGCGCCGTGTTCTTCTCGCAGTGCTCCGCCCGCTGGCCCCCACGAGCGCCCTGTTTGGGAACCACGACGAGGATGCGCTTGCCCAGAGAGCGCCCGACTCGAGGATCAAACATTTTTTTTTACGGCCGCAGGCGGAAGCGCCAGCGGCAGGCGGTCACGGTCGGGCTGCGGCCGCGACGAGGGGGCGGGCGCGCGCGGGGCCGCGGTCAGGCGGCGGGCAGCGGCAACCCAGGGCGTCTGAGAAGCCAGGGCGTGCAAATCCAGGGAGTCTGCCGGGCAGCCCCTGAGGCGAACATGCAACGGCACATCCAGGGAGTCTGAGAGGTCAGCCACCGAGGAGAGCCGAGCGCAGCCAAGGATCAAACATGTGCGCAGCTACCAAAACCTTGCCCTTGCCGGTGGCAAGAGCAACGAGCGTGTTGGCATCCAGGGCGAGGTCGACACACACCTCAACCTTCTGGTGTGGCCTCAGGGCCAGGGCCATCGACACACGAGTTGCGCGAGCCCGCAGCAGCGGACTAATGCAGGATGCCCTCATTGGATGTTGACCGCCGCGGCCACGTCGTGTTCATTTGGCGGATTCCGGCAGCCCTGAACACAACGAGGTTGCCACCTCTTGGGAGGTCGACTTCTGCTTCCCCTGGCTTCCGCCCACTTCCGCTGGCGGAGCCGCTCTCGTTCTCCTTCCGCCGCCTTCCGCCAACCCTCCGCGGCCTTCCGCCGCGGAAGAGATGACGACCGTTTTGATCCTCGCAGGCGTGGCCCTTTCGGCGGTGGACAAACCTCCCTTTAATAAACCTCCCCTTAGTGAAAACGGCCTGGGACCGAAACCGACGGACCTGGACCCGCAAAAATGACGGCCGCGACGCCCTCTCGAGAACCGAAAACGGCCAATTCCTTAATCGACGTGTCAGGGTAGGAGGTCTGTCCACCCCCGACCCTCTCTGGAACGTCTCATTGGCTCGCCATGCCAGCCGCGGCCCCTGCACATGCAGAGGGTCAGGACAGCAGGCGCGTTTGCGGGGGGAGCGCGTCCGCCCCCCTCTGGCCGCGGCCACCGACGGTGGGCGCCCTGCTGCCTTCGATCCGAAATGGCTCGAGGAGAGAAGAGGAGAAAGAGAACGAGGAGGACGAGGAGAGGGAGGCGGATCAGGAGGCGAGGAGGAGGAGGAAGAGGAGGAGGATGAGGAGGAGGAGGAGGAGGGAGGGCAGGAGGACGGGGAGGGGTCAGCAGGGGGAATGGGCAAGGGGAAGGGAGGAGGCAATAAGGGGGAGACCGGGGGGACGCAAATAAGACGAAGCCAGGACAGAGACAAATCGGGGATTTCTGAGATCTGGCCGTTCTGGAAGATGCATCGGGCGCCGTGGCCGTTCCAGAGCCTTCCGGAAGGCTTTCAGAGCGTTCTGAAAACTATCCGGAGCGCTCTGAAACGACATCTCCTTGCCCTACAGCCGCGCCCGAGAAGAGGAGAACCACGAGCCGTCGTCGCTGGCGGGAGGGTTGGGTGCCGTGGAGGAGAAAAAAGTGCGGACGCGAGTGGCAGGGCGGAGGGAAGGCGCAGGACGAGGACGGGGAGGAGGCGGCGGAGAAGGAGTGCCATTCTCACGGGGCGGCAGCGGCGGCTGGTCCCTCCACGGATCTCTTGGTCGCCCGGGGGCACCTGCGCGGCCTGCGGCAGCTCGGGGGGAGGCCCCGCGCGAGGAGTCGCGAGCCGGGCGAGCGACGAGTTAGAGATGGGGGCGCTTGCGCGCGGGGGCACGGCCACTCCTCCCTCCTCCTCCTCCTCCTCCTCCTCCTCCTCCTCCTCCTCCTCCTCCGACTCCCCCTCCCCCTCCTCCGACTCCCCCTCCCTCCTCCTCCTCCTCCTCCCCTCCTCCTCCTCCTCCTCCTCCTCCTCCTCCTCCTCTCCTCATCATCATCTCATCCTCCACCTCCTCCTCCTCCTCCTCCCCCTCCTCCTCCTCCTCCTCCTCCTCCTCCTCCTCCTCCTCCTCCTCCTCCTCTTCCTCCTCCTCCGGCAATCGTCCAGAATTCCGTTTCCCGTAATCCGAAATTATGGGAAACGCAATTCCAGACCATTGCGTGCGTTTTTTTTTTGTCAGAAAAAATGCGTTTCCCATACTTCGGAATCATGGGGAACGCAGTTCTGGCCCATCGACTGCAGGTTTTCAAAGGAAATTGCGTTTCCCATAATTCGGAATTCGATTCTCGGAAACCGCGTCCCCCGAAATTCGCAATTCGAAATATGGGAAACGCAAATCCAGTCCATCGAATGCGGTGTTTCAAGAGAAATTGCGCTTCCCATAACTCGGAATTATGGGAAACGCAATTCCAGCCCATTGAATCGAATTATGGGAAACGCGTTTCCCGCGCAATGTGTCCTTGGGGCAGTCGTCCGGGGTTGCGTTTCCAATGATTCGCCATTTTCGAATTGTTGAATCATAAGAAACGCAAGCCCGGACGGCAGCCCCTCCTCCTCCTCCTCCTCCTCCTCCTCCTCCTCCTCCTCCTCCTCCTCGTCTCCTCCTCCCCCCCTCTCCCCTCCTCCTCCTCCTCCTCCTCCTCCTCCCTCCTCCCTCCTCCTCCTCCCCTCCTTCTCCTCCTTCTCCTCCTTCTCCTCCTCTCCTCCTCCTTCTCCTCCTCCTCCTCCTCCTCCTCCTCCTCCTCCTCCTCCTCCTCCTCCTCCTCCCACCTCACGCGGTGGCTCACGCGGTGGCTCACGCGGTGGCTCACGCGGGTCCTCCGTGCGGCACACCTCGTCGCGAAAGGCGGGCGCCCACGCGGGACCTGTTGCGCGGGGCCAGGCGGGCAGCCCCGCTCTCTGCTCGACGCTCGCGCTCTCGCGGCACGGCCTGCTCGCGACAGGGGGCACGGCCCGGGCGGCGTCGCGGGGTGCTGGGGCTCGGCAGCCGCGGCCTCGCGGCTGCGCGGCTGCGCGGCCTCGTGGAACTCCTGCGCAGGGCGTCCGGAAGAGCAGCTGCCGCAAGCAGAAGCACGCGCGTTGGCGCGGAGTGCGGCGCTGAGTCACTGGCACTGGGAACAGAGGAGCGAGACGACCACGAACGCACGGTGTTCTTGCGGCGATGCCTAAAAGAAAACAGGAGAACCGAGGACGAGGATCAAGGGCATGTCCAACTGTCCAACAGACATGGTCGAGCCTCGGACGGTCTTGAAAAACTGCGAACCTCCCACGGGCGACCGCGGCCGCCCGGCCTGTACCCACAACGTGTGGATCAAAACTGCGCGGGGCAGCGAAAGTGTCGACGAGGGCCCCCCCTGGGAGGCCCAGGAGGGTCCCTGGCCTGCTGACCGTCCACGTCTACCGCCCACTGCCCACGGGCCTGCTGCCGAGGAGTGCCTGTGCTGCCTACTGGCCGTCCACGTCGATGACGTCGTCGGGCTTCTTGCCGGCGGCGCCGCCGGGCGGGGGCGGGGCGCCGCCCTCGGGAGCCGGAGCGCCACCGGTGTTCGCGTAGGCCGCCTGGCCGACCTTCATCAGCTCCTCCTGCAGGTCCTTGGCCGCCAAGGCTTCCCAGACCCCCTCGCGTTGTTCGCAAATCGCGACGGGAGGTTTTTCGCTGCTTTCGGCCTCCCAGGGCCCTTCCTGGGCCTCGGGACCGTCGAAAAACGACTCAGGATGAAAAGC